TATATGTTTCCAGTTATCATTGCAAGCTTCGCGTTTCCTTTCTTTTTCAATATATCAGGATATTTATTGTGCTGTTTAGTCCTTTTATGTCTTTTGGGACGGTTGTTAACTAACGGTCACCTCCTTTACAACTGTGTCCATCAAAATCCGTTCTGAATTATGTATTATATATTTATTTAAGTAACAACACAAACCTTTATATTATAGTGTAAAGTGCCTGGTGATAAATTCTCCATAGTCATTACATTCATGTATCCCTTTAATCCCTTCCACTCTGGAACTTCTTAGCATTTTTCTTTCTTAGCATTTCAGCCAACAGGCTGAAACTGTCATAGCAGATTAATGTTTTGTGCAGTTACACTAATTACACGCAGGTTTTGACTCTGCCTTTGGGGCGGCTGATCTGTGTGTGTGTACCTGTGAATGAGGGTTTTCACATGTGATTTTCAGTAATAATTACAGTTGTTTCTTGACACTGTTATATCTATTGGAAATAGGACAATACACTAAATATTAAGCACAACTAAAACAAAACAATTTTGAATTTTAGTGAAGAATCAAAAAGTTTCTGAACAATGTAGTTACATGCTTACATACATGTGCTTGAATGTGCACGTTTAGCAAGCGGTGGAGTTAAATTTCCTGGAGAAACAGCCTGTGCGGAGCCAGCGTGTGTCACTCTAGAAGGTGGATTAGTGCTGTAAGTCTCCACAACGCTGAAGGGCAGCCCTTATTCAGCCAGGAGAAAAGAGTGTTTTGGGTTGAACCACAGAGTGAAGCCTGCCAGATCATAATCACAGCTAAAGTCAGTCAGTCACACTAATAATACACCAGCAGTACGTGCTTCACACCTAGCTTATCCCTCACCTGCTTACGTTTAAGTGAGATGTTTGATGCCAGAACTTGTTTAAGTTGTAAATATATACACATCTAATAGATACTCAAAATAAAGGTCCATTGTCCCACAACGCTCAAACATCGTTGCTGTAAAGTTAAGACATATTTGAACTCAATCTATTTGGTATCTGTTACACACCATCAGAAATCTAATGATGCACAACATGGATCAAACCAATCGCTAGGAGAGGTTTTAACCCATTAAATACATATAGGATATTTACCATTTTACATAGCACACTGTATGTTTTTAGAATAATTTTCTATCTTAAAGTCAGCCATTGACTTTTAACATCTATCCTAGGAACAACTTAGCAGTGTAAGATTGTTGTCCAGATTTCTGTGCCAATGCAGAGTAAAATGGTTTTGTTTCTTTTTGTTCTTTTTGTTTTTGGTCTTACAACCAGAAATGAATGTTAGGGTTTTCTAATCATGACCACAAACTTTCTATGACCTCGTGTTTTTTCTGACAGAATAGGAGTAGGAATATTTTTTGGGAAACAGTCTTATACGCTTTCTTGTTGAAGGTTAGATGAGAAGATAAATATCACTCAATATCTGTCTTTTAAGTATTAGGCTAACAGCCAGGAGATGGTTAGCTAAAACATCTTAGAAAAAGGGAGAAGGGGCTTGCTTCACATTGAAGCAACATGGTGAACATAGTAAACGACATGGTAAACATTATATGAACATTAGCATATTAGCATTGTTATTGTGAGCATGATAGCATGCTGACGTTAGCATTTAGCTCAAAGAATAGTTGCACAGAAGTAGAGGTTTCTCAGGGACTCATTTCTGAAACAATATGGTGAACAATGTAAACAACAGGGTAAACATTAATTGAAACACTAGCATGTCAGCATTGTTATTGTGAGCATAATGGCATGCTAATGTTAGCATTTAGCTCAAAGCATTTTTGTGACTAAGTATAACTTTTTCAGGGTCTAATTTCTTTGCAGTACATTAAAGAAAACATTGTGTCACAATTAATTTGACTATGATACATGGGGACATCTTAAAATTGGTCCTTTTTTACACCTTGAAGAGCCAAGAAATTATTGAGAAAAACAGCAGTTTCAAAAGGTTGAATCAGTGTGGTTTACATGAAAGGCCATCATTACGCAGACAGATAATAGGTCTGTTTAACTGGCCGGTCAGGGGCTTCTTCCTAATGCGGAGATTGCCATCAGTGTTTTGTCTGGCCTGTAACCATTATGTCTAGTCTCTGTGCCTCTCTTTCTCTTTTTTTTCTCCTCCCATTCTTTCTCTTTATGTCTCGCTCTTACATTTTCTCAGACATTTCTTTTCCTCTTTACCCCACCCGTGGTCCCTTTATGAATGGGGGACCCTGGGGATGTCGTAGGACTCAAGAAAACAAACACTGCATCAATGCTTTGTGGAGGCGAACACAGTCAGATAGACTTGGCATTTATTCTAAATGGGGCTCCAATCATACAGGCTTGTTCCCTTGGTTCCCTTTGAGCAACCATTCACTGACTTTATGATATTTTACTGAATTTGACATTTTCGAAATTAGACATCTCTTGTTTTGTTTCACTTCTTGAAAGCACTCAAAAATGAACAATAATCCTGTGACTTTATACCCCCGCTTTAAGCAACAGTGAGTGCCTCCATTGTTAAAGTGGATTACAGAAATGGCTCTCTGTCAAGTTTTGGGATGGTGGCCAAAAGGATTAATGCAGATTCACTCCTGTAATGCCCTAAACCACCCCACCATTAGGTCACAGTCTCCTCAGATGACCTAAACCCTCTGACTAACAGTTACATCACTTTTGCCTGGAGCAACCTCTATAATGTGCAGATTAATAGGCACTTTTGTCAAACTTAAAGCTGCACCAATCAATATTTTTACATTAACAATGGATCGAATGACTGTGCATAATGTGAAAGGCGTCACTCATAAAGATGTCTGCAGTACTTTAATTTTTTCTGTAGTTTTATAAATTACATCAAAAAGTTAAAAAGGTTCAGAAGATAAAGCTTCCTTTTATTTCTTGGAATTTCATGGCTTCAAATTCTGCTCCCTTGATTTGAAAAATGTGATATAATTTATTATAATAATCCACTCATGGATGGCAAAATATGACGTCAAATAATCCAGTTATCCATCATATGATGAGAATCAGTAAAAATTTGATTTTCTTTTAATTGGCTGTGTCGTCCAGATTTTTAAATAAACTGTAAAAACCCACAGACCTGAACAGAGGGGAAAGCTATTTTTCGCCATTACAAGTGTTTCCCCCCTTCGTTCTTAATTTCATAGATTTTTATCAAATTTTATGGTTCTTTTTCTGAGTAAGTGTCTGATTGTCTAGCCAAAATTGACCAAACTAGGAGATTTTTCAAGTGAATGCCGCCTGCATTTCAAGGACATTTTTTAATCATACTCTTATAGTAGATAGACTGAACTACAGCATGACAAAGAATTAGAAAAATCCCAGATATTTTTATTAAGAACTAACTAGATATTTTAAACATAAAGCACAAAAAGCAAACTACAAAGGATTGTATATCACACATTTTGACTAGTTTCACCTGCTTTGACGATCAGTAATGAAAGACATTGCCAATATAACGTCATTCATTGTGTAAAACTGCAGTTTCTATGAGAAGTTTGGCATTTCTGCTGCCCGCAGCACGAAGCTGACAGGGATAATGCTCTACAAGTGTTCAGCTACTGCAGAGAGGATTGTATTTCTCCCCCAAACCTGCATCATTCGGTCCCTCCCCTCTCGTCTTTTCTCATCAGTGCTGTAATCCCAGAGAGCGTCTGCTAAATAGCTGGGATCTGATGTCACACGCACAATGACACCTCTGTGGTTGTTTTGCTGCAGCCTCACTAGCTTCTACTTTCTTTCTCGTCTTTGCTTGTGTGTTTTTTTTTTTTGTTTTGTCTTTTTCTCCTGCTCTCCGTCTTTCTCTTTCTGACTGTCCTTTCAGGCCATTCAAAAGTTCTCAAGACTCTTGCTGTGATGAATGGGGCCAAGCACACATACACACACAAAAAGCCACCAATGTGCACGCTCACAAGTATTGCGCACAGAATGCAAACGGCATGCAAAACGCCACATCCACGCTCACACACACACACACACACACACACACACACACGTACACACACAGTTGAGGCCTGCGAGCAGAGAGCAACAATAGCAGTGTGTCTGGGTTATTATTTCTCAGTAAAGTTCTCATTTATCTGGGTTCATTTTGACTGCAGCCTCGGGGGAAATTAATTTAGTACCTACAAAAGGTTTCCCGACAGGAAATTTCCAGTGTTTTTTTTTTTTTTTTTTCTTTTCTTTTTTCTTTTTTCAAATGCATGAGTATTTCAGTATTATCTCAAATATTTTCATATAAGTTTTGCTGTGTATAATCTGCACTATTTTTCTGTGAAAGCCTCAAATATTTCTGACATTTTAATACTTCCAATATGTCCAAATATTTCCACTTCCTCTTCAGGTGGACAGTGAGTTCAGTGATGAGAGGCAGAGGGGCATCATGGGAGGAAATGATGTAATAACAGTATGTTTATTTGCACTAAAGCAAACAGAGCGATTCCTTAATGAAATCCAGGGTGGGACTGTTTACCCAGAGCTCTTTCACTCACTCACTCACTCTCTCCCTCTCTCTCTCTTTCTCTCTCTCTCTCTCTCTCTCTCGTGAACAGTGAGGGCACTGTAGTGTGTACTGGCACTGCATGGTCTAACGCGCACGTACACGCAACAACACTGCACAGTAGTAGCACTCATCTGCTTACAGCTGAGTGAATTATTACCTGCCTTCAGCTCAGCTCCGTTTTATTTCACTATCAAACTTGCAATAATCAATCAATCATGGTTTTTAAATGGAACACAAATTCTTGATGATGCTTCAGATGCATGCACAGACTGCTCCGCTCTGCCTCTGTCTTACACACACACACACACACACACACTTACAAACATCCACAGACCACAGCCTTGAAAACCCCTGAATTTAAAAATGGAATTAAGAGAGTTAAAGTTATATCTGCTGCTTAGAAAGCTCAGTAGTGGAATATTCTTTAGTGAGAATTTAAATCAATTGCTCTGTCTTTCCGCCAGGATTCGTCCTCAGCTGGCCAAAGAAAAGATTGAGGGTTGTCACATCTGTACGTATGTGATGCCCGGGGAGCCCCAGGTGGTCCTGGGTAAGGACAAGGCCTTCACCTATGACTACGTGTTCGACATGGACACCCAGCAGGACAGCATCTACACCCACTGCACAGAGAGACTCATCGAGGGCTGCCTTGAGGGCTACAACGCAACCATCTTCGCTTATGGACAGGTCGGTCAGCCTCACACATAATGCAGCTGCAGAGTGTCACTTTTTCTTCTCTTGCAAGTTCAGCATAGTGGCGTAACACACACGCACACAAACACACACACACACACACACACACACACACAACACACACATCCACATTTGCTGACGTTTCCACTTTGCATCCCTCAAGGGGAAGGAGCTGCCTCCAGATTTATGCCGACATGTGAGATGAAGATGATTTCATTTCATATCATCAGACAAGTAATGAAGGGAGTGAACAGGCCTCACAGCCACAGCAGCTCTGTCAATACACTATCAGCTGACATGTTCCAACCTGCCCCCACCACCACCGCTTTATATTGGCTCTGATAGATCAGCCTGAGAGGGGGAGACCGAAGAGGGAGTCTCTTACCCAATGAAAGCAGAACGGGAGCAGATTGCTTCACCTCATACCACAGCAGAGAACTAAAGCACAAAATCAAAACATATTTGAGAGACATTAACATGGAACTTTAACCTGCTCGCTGACAACTCCACAGCTCTGGGCTCTTCAGAAAATGCATTTTGTATTCACACTTTCATATGTATAGAAGAGATCTGAAGTAAAATGTATTAGATCAACTGTTAGGGATGTGCTCTGCCTTTACTGAAATGCTTATTTGTGTGCAGATAAGTGGCAAAATGTCCCATTAAAGGTGCACTTCACCTATTTTACATGTTCCGTGCAGATGTTTAACAGAAAGCCTGCAAACAGGTAGTGTGGAGTTAAAAAGGTGTCATGTGAAATGTGGGATCCAGGTTTTTTTTTTTTTTTTTTGCTTGACCAAATACTAAAAACAAAAACTCAGCATATCTCTTCAGTCTGGACCAGGCTTTTTAAAAAAATGTGTCTCCAGCAAGTCCCACAGCTTTATGGAGGTTCACTACCTCTGAAGACGCATCAAGAGCTTTGCTAATGCTAATGATCCATCTGTTTAAATCACACATTTTAATGGTGTCACTCACTCAGATTAAGTTTTGCACAAGACAACATTCATCACAGAAGATGTGAGATCCTAACTCTTCCAATAACACCGGAGTCTCGACCGGAATGCAAATCACAGATGTGTAGTATGCAAACTTTCTATTTAAATGTGTTGCTTAAAGCTACTGACCGGTCCACATATAGCATGCAGGTAACAATACGTACATAATCTTTTTTCTTTCATAAGTGAGGGGAATCACTAACTGAGGCAAAATAAAAAGTGAATTACTGTGCCTTTATGCAAATATACTGAGCGTAATTAATTGAGTCCCATAACTCTGTGGTGGTTTTGTCAGCTGCTGGTATGATAGGCGGGAGGACGGTATGTAACACCGACCCTGCTCGCACTCAAACTGTCATCGACTGCTATCTGTGATTGTCTGTCAGAGACAAAAATGCACGTAGGAACGGAGTGTTTCTCTCACACAGCATCTCTTGCTCTCCAGTTGAACAACAGCGGTTAAACTTTCCTTCTTCTTAATCTTCCCCTCCGCTCCTCTTCTTTCTGTTCATTATTCTCTCTTCACATTGTTCCTGCGGCTCTTGTGTTCCTGTCAAAGAGCCTTTCACAGACCGCAGGGGAGGCGGCGCGCACGCACAAACACACACACACACACACACACACACACACACACACACACACACACACAGAAGTATAGTGCAGAACATAATCACACAGGTGCAGTCTAATACAATAAAACAGACAAACACACAGTCTTCCTCGTTCACTCGCACACACACACACACACACACACACACACACACACACACACACACACACACACACACACACACATTTGGACACACACTCCCTCATCTATCACATCACACACACAGACTGCCAAGGTCTTTCAGGCATTTCAACAGGGAGGGAAAGGGGTGACGTTTGAATTTGAGCTCAATGTTGCATTCCTCTTTTTGTCACCATGGTGACCACACAGAGAGGTCCCCTCTGACCCCCCCCCAAAACTCCTCAGAACTGCACCCTTACTCCTTCTTCTAATGATACCAGTCTTGTATTCTGACATGAAGACTTTGTGTTTTCCTAAATCATGGTACAGTTTAGCTCAGAAACACAACACAGAGAGATTAGATAGATACACACATGATGAGAGCAGGGATAGACCTTATTCCCATTTGGAAAAGTAAATGATAACTGTCTTTTTTTTTTCTGCGTGCAGACAGGTTCGGGGAAGACCTACACCATGGGAACCGGCTTCGACGTCAACATCGGAGAGGATGGGCTGGGTATCATTCCCCGGGCCGTCAACCACCTGTTCAAAGGGATCGAGGAGCGCAGACAGGCCGCCACCGAGCAGGGCAGGCCAGTCCCTGAGTTCAAGATCAATGCACAGTTCCTGGAGGTGCAGAAACGCACACACAAACACACACACACACACACATACACACACACAGAGGCAGAGCAAAATTTAACAATTTCACAGGATATGAACCTAGAAATCAAGGTGCATTTATCAGCACTCAACACTCAAAACATCCAGTCCACTTAAGATCCATTAGTTACATGTAGCCAGGACATGCAGACAGCAAGAGGTCAAAGGTCAGCAGAGGGTGAAGGGTTCAGGTTGTTAAAGTGTCCAGATGACCCTACGGCCATTAAGCTGTCATTAGTCTGTCTCTGTGGTCATCCACTGGCTTTATTTTTAACAGCCAACAAGTGGCTGCTAACAGCTGGTGAGGAAGCAGCTGAGCAGGAAAAGATGAGACTGGGAAGTAATGACAGACGAACGACAGCATTGATGATGTATCAGTAACAATAATCTGTGTGTATCACTTACTTTTCTAAAAATTTATTTCACCTGCTCTTCAGCTGTACAACGAGGAGGTGCTGGATCTGTTCGACTCCACGCGCGACATCGAGGCCAGGAAACAGAAGTCCAATATCAAAATCCACGAGGACGCCAATGGAGGCATCTACACTGTTGGGGTCACCACCCGCACTGTCACCTCTGCAGCCGAGGTCAGTTTTAACACCACAACAGGTTCCCGGAGCAGGTTTTTTTTTTTTTTTTTTTTTAATATTGCCATGGATTTCCTGTGTAGGTACAAACTTAAGCCAAAAATACCCATGATGTGAGAATACTCACTTTCTGTTGTGATTTTTTTTTTTTCTCCCCTCCGTCTCTCGTCCAACAGATGATGCAGTGTCTAAAGCTGGGCGCTCTGTCTCGCACCACCGCCAGCACCCAGATGAATGTCCAGAGTTCGCGCTCCCACGCCATCTTCACCATCCACCTGTGCCAAGTTCGAGTCTGCTCTCCCGATAACAACGTGTGTACTCTATTGAGATGATCATCAGCTACAATTTCACAATGTAATGTTTAAATTATAGCTCCTGGCTGAAAAGCAACTTGTACTCATGTTTATTTTCTGTTTCTCCTCCAGGATAATGTAACAGACAACCGTTTAGCCAACGACTCGGAGATTAATGAGTTTGAGACGCTGACGGCCAAGTTTCATTTTGTTGACCTGGCTGGTTCAGAGAGGCTGAAGAGAACTGGAGCGACAGGAGACAGAGCGAAAGAGGGCATCTCCATCAACTGTGGTCTGGTGAGGAAGCGGAGGGCATGTCTCAATCTGCAGTGCTGTCATAGGTCGATTAATCTAGTGTTTTACATTACCTGATACAAAGCCATGAACCTCTGTGGAGATTTTTCTGGAGTAAGAGAGCCCCCAGGTGGCCAGAACATGAATTACACTTGATTTCTTTCACTGAGGCTCAATCCCAATGTCACTCCCTAAGACTTAAGCCCTGAACCCCTCACAGACTTAATTGACGTCCCCTGGTAAGTGATTGAGTGTGAGACGCTGCAAGGGCTCAAAATGGTATAAAGAGGAATTGGACAGCACTTTGTGACATTATCAACGCTACTTTAACAACGCCAAAATATGTTGCACACAATTATGGGTTTGGATCTTTTAATTCTTCATTTTTTCATTTCCTCACTTCGCTCCCTGTTTGTAAAGAAAATATTTGGATAATAGATGATGAAAGCAGATGTGGACTTTATCATCATGCCATCACAGGACACATAACTACACAGTTCTGGCTATCAGTCACCGGTGAACTGTGTTTTTATTTCCTTGTAACGTTAACGTTAGCTCCAGTCATCTATCTCATTCTTTTTTCCCTTTTTATTGCGGTTGTAGACCATTTTTTAGTAGCCACGATAACCCTGTGATTAATGTCACACTGCTATGAACTGTGGGTAATTCTCTCAGGCATACTCTGCAGAAATGTGGACTAATGGAAAGTGTGCATAAAGGGCCCAAAGTGTCTGCTAGAGAGCCCTCTTGCATTTGATGGTTTTACAGTGGGACAGCCCTAAACCCTCATGAGCTTTCCGGGAACGCATCTCAAAAGTCTGTGAGTCCATGAGGGTGGATGTTGGGATTGGGCCTGACATGACAGATTTCCCATCACAGTCCTGCAATTTTGAAAATGTCATCCAACCCATCCTCCTCAATGCCTTTCCTTTCTTTCCCTCTGTTACGTCAGCTTGCTCTGGGGAACGTCATCAGTGCGCTGGGCGACAGGAGTAAACGCTCCACTCATGTGCCTTACAGAGACTCCAAACTGACACGGCTGTTACAGGACTCACTAGGTGGCAACAGGTCTGTGAGACACTTTTGTAACTATTACATTTGTATTTGTATCTAAACCAGGACAAAATAAATGGAAGGGAATGTGAAGACCTTTCACAGGCCTGTAAAATCAGCACTTGTGGAGGTCGTAATTATCCATAAAAATTCATAAAAATCCATGGGGACTGATTGTTGTTCTTCATCTCTGTGTTCTTCAGTCAAACTGTGATGATCGCCTGTATCAGCCCGTCAGACCGGGACTTCATGGAGACTTTGAACACCCTGAAGTACGCCAACCGAGCCCGAAACATCAAGAACAAGGTGATGGTGAACCAAGACAGAGCCAGTCAGCAGATCAGCGCTCTGAGGACCGAAATGGCTCGACTGCAGATGGAGCTGATGGAGTACAAGACAGTAAGAACACACGGATAGTAGATGGAATAAGAGACAAAATGGAGAAAATAAAATCAATGTATTGTATGTGAATGGACAAACACTATTATTTCATGATATGAATTTCCCTGTCTGATACTCAGGGAAAGCGAATGGTGGGTGAAGATGGGATGGAGGGCATCAACGACTTGGTCCATGAGAACTCTATGCTGCAGACAGAGAACAACCACCTGAGGGTGAGGGTGAAGGCCATGCAGGAGACCATTGACGCTCAGAGAGCCAGACTTACACAGATCCTCAGTGACCAGGCCAACCAGGCTCTGGCTAAAGCAGGTAGGCTAAAGCAGATTTAAAAACCTCATTACTATCTGCATTGCTGTAGTGGGGAACTACTGTATATTAGCATGGTAAAAATGATTTAAAAGAAGCTATATATATGTATTAATACTGTATGTATCTATCTATCTACCAATCGCCCTGGATATCAGTACAAATTTGGCTTGAACAAATCACAACTATTTACTCAAAGGCATCCCATTATTACAATATAGTACTGAAGAAGTGCTGTTATTGTTCCTACTGATGCTTCCTAACTAATTACTTCATAATATATTCAGCTGCTTGAATTATATATTTTGGCACCTGGTTATACCTTTTGTAAGACTTATAATATGTTTTCACATACTTATAAAATAGACTGTGATTGTCACTCTTTTTCATATAGTTTTAATGTTGATTTAAGTACAAAAAAGTAGATGTCAATTTGGTTTACTGTTTACTTATACTGAGTCTATAGTCATGCTATTGGCTCTGGCACAGTGGGGCTTTTAGATAAATGCTAACGTTAGAATTAGAATGCTAACATGCTCACCATGACAATGCTAACATGCTGATGTTAAGCATTTTTTTGTTGTTGTTGTTGTTGTTGTTATTGTTTTTGTTTTTTATTTGACCATTTTAGTAAAGCATTTTAGCATGCTAACATTTGCTAGTTAGCACTACGTGTACAAGTACAGCTGAACCTAGATTAAAAGTTTGTGAATCACTGTAAGAATAAAGAGTAGTTTTGTAGTAAAGCTACTGTACGTGCTTCTGACAAGTCGCCATTAATCCATGTTAAAGCTAAAATGATGCTTCTGTTTACAGGTGAAGGTAATGAAGAAATTGGAAACATGATTCAGAACTATATCAAAGAAATCGAGGAGCTCAGGTATGTATCCTGATACAATCTCATTTAGCAGAGTCAAAATGAGTGCGAGCACTGACTCGCGTCATAAACATAGTGAAAGGTAAAAATGTTGTTAATGGACGTGTGATAGTATTTGAATACAACTCTCCGCCTCCCTCAGAGCTAAACTTCTTGAAAGTGAGGCTGTGAGTGAGAACCTGAGGAAGAACCTGTCTCGAGCCTCCACTCGCTCCTCGCTGTACGGAGGCCCCGGCTCCTTCTCCCCGGCCTTGCTCGCCCCCGAGGAGGCTGCCAGCGACGTCATCATGATGGCCAAGAAGGACTTGGAGAAGCTCAAGAAGAAGGAGAAGAAGAAGAAGAAGAGGTATACTGTTGTATTGGCATAGTTGTTTTACAAGTCTATATGATGCTGTGGCAGTTTTTACTATGTTGTTTGATATTAATTGAGTGTATGGGTCATGCCATGGCTGCCAAAAGCAAACAACAAGACTTGCATTAAAGCTTATAACCTTCTTTAGACGTAAATTAGAGTGAAACAAGCGTTGTGTTAGACACTGAAAAGGCAGGGTCTTTATGTTTTGTCCGTTGCCACGGTAAGTGCGTGTGGCCTGGTGCATTGTGGGTTATTATCTCCTCGCTCTCTGCATTTGCAGTTTACACCCTGATGTTTTCTTTGATGGAGTGTGTGCTCGATTTAGATGGTGACAGCCGATGATGATGATGATGATGATGATGATGATGATGATGATGATGATGATGATGATGATGATGATGATGATGGGCAAGCTGTTGCATGCTGTGGCACAATGATCATTTGTCCTTCTGTTGTGAGTCGGTGTCCATGTGTCCTTGCATTTCTATTTATATATTTGTGAGGGCCACATTATATACTTGAGATCCACACCTTACGAAGAACCAGTGTAAGTTTTTTTTGCCGTGGTGAAATCTGTCTTTGTCGTCTGCATCTCCACAATCAGGCGTCATCATTGGAACGCACTGCATTTGCAAGAGTCTCTGCTTCTTGCTGCTCTGTCTCACTCTCTGTCTTTCTCCTATCTTGCAATATTCCCTCACTTGCTCCATCTTCCACGGCCTGTCTTCTACCTCCTCCTCCCCTCCACACCTCACCGTCCTCACCCCCATCCCCATCCCTCTCTGAAGGCTGAGGCGATACGAAGAGATTCACCACCAAGAGGTTGAACAAGCCAGGTTTGCCACGTCCCATCCTGGATTGGGTCGAACACTTAAACTGAAACTGATTCAATTACCAGCTAGTTTGGCACAGCGGTCTACTTCATGTGCTTTTGTGACCACACTGAAATGCACCGAGTAATTGAAAGTATTTCAGTTGATACTTGACCCAGGTCTTAACCCCAAACCTTCCTTTCTAAGTTCCCAAAGTAACTAATCTCTAACTTCTTCTGCACCTACAGGTGGTTTACACTCCTGGAGGGAGGCAGCTCTCTTAACCAAGCCCTTACCTTTTCCTCTTAACCCTCCGCTCTCGCTGTTTTTCCTCTTCGCTGCACACTGCTAGATATTGATCAGATCTCATCATAAGTAAAAAAAAAAAAAATTTTAAAAAAGGGATAAAAACTGGAATTGAATTTGGGGAAAGATACTAAAAATATCTGTAGTATTTGGTCAACAAATCTTAGTAGTGTGTGGCTGCCCTTCTTACAGTGGAATTAGTTTGTAATATGATTGATAATAACTGTGAATCATGATCATTTAATCATTTTATCGGTCCCAGTGTATCATTAATGTTTTCCCTCATGCAATCACAGTGAATTCCTTAATCAACATTGATTCCACATTTGCTCCTGATCCAGTGAAGTGAACAATCATTTGCATGTGTCCTTCACCCATCATTGATAAAAAAAAAAATTTAAAATGCTGTTAATCCAAATCTGACCTACAGTGTGAACGTTCTGCCCCTTGGTTGGCAGCCGGCTAACGCTTTTTTCTCCTCCAGCGTTATCAAAGAGGAAGTCCCAGACAATGACCAGGAGCGAGGCAGTGAGGAGGCAGAGGTGGTAAGTGAAGCTTCGAGATTTTTATTTAATTAAGCAATATCGCACGAGAGGGAGTGATGTTGTGTGAGTCGGTCACAGGTACGAGGCAGTAACGGTTAATATTACACCTGTGAAGCGGAGTGATGCATGTAGTTAAAAGTACCAGTGCTGTTGTACTCTGTATCAGCACTCATGAAATGCCTCTCGTCCAATCAAATTACTTGGTCTGAACTAACTTTTGTATAAAGATGTTTATCACATTGTGCTTTCACATCTCCAGGAGGGCAGCGATCACGACGAAGGGGAGGATGCAGATGGAGACGAGGAAGACTTTGACATGGCGGGAGAAGAGACGTCTGATGAATCGGACTCTGAAGAACTGGAGGAGAAAGGTAAACTGATCTTTCACAGGAAAAAGGCATTATGTACAGCCTTTTTTCTTGGACTATTAAATAGCAAAAATGATTGCGTGTTTGTGTGCAGAAAACGTCCAGGCTGACCTGGCCAACATCACTTGTGAGATCGCCATCAAACAAAAGCTGATAGATGAGCTGGAGAACAGCCAGCGGCGTCTGCACACGCTCAAACAGCAGTACGAACAGAAGCTGATGATGCTGCAGAACAAGATCAGAGACACGCAGCTGGAGAGGGACAAGGTGCTGCACAATATGGGTAAGAGACACATTCAGGCAGACACTTGACTTTAGTAACAGACCACTGTAATTGGTACCTAAATACCCCGCTGGCACAGATACGATAGGCTCAAACAAATTGAATGAAAGGCTGCTCCATCTCCCTCTTCCTCTTTCTATCCAGGTACAGTGGAGTCGGGCACCGAGGAGAAGGCCAAGAAGATCAAAGTTGAGTATGAGAGGAAGCTGAGCTCCATGAACAAAGAGCTGCAGAAGCTCCAGTCAGCTCAGAAGGAGCACGCTCGCCTGCTGAAGAACCAGTCGCAGTATGAGAAACAGCTCAGGAAACTCCAGCAGGATGTGACCGAGATGAAGAAGACCAAGGTGAGGAAATGGGTCATTTGCAGCCGCTCTTGCACAGATGTGTTGTTGCAGTGCTGATTTTTTTTTTATCTCCTGCCTTGTTGTGTTGTTGTGTTTATCCACCAGGTGTCACTGATGCGTCAGATGAAGGAGCAGCAGGAGAGGAACAGGGCCACAGAGTGCAGGAGAAACAGGGAGATCGCCACTCTGAAGAAAGACCAGCGCAGAGCCGAGGTGAGAGGGATGGAAACCAAATAAGAATCTCCCAGAGAGATTCTTATTTCTAGTCGTATCAATTATCGTATTAATTATCGCAATTTATTTTTATTGTTTATTTTAGTGATTCATAGATACGTTAAAATGACCTGATATCCAACACAACACCCCTGGGTAGTTTGGAAAATTGAAATGGTATTTGTTAATATAGTTGTTTGTTTCTTATGATGATCACTGACTCAAAAATTTTATTTCTTGCTGTACTTAGCAGTGTCTTCTTCATATTCGTCTCACCTTACAGCACCAGGTGAGGCAGCTTGAGGCCCAGAAGCGACAACAGGAGTTGGTTCTACGCAGAAAGAACGAAGAGGTAAGACGCTCGGGGAGTTTTCGGAAATTAATCCACAACTACGGTACATTACTAATTCTGTTTGCACTCAAATGTGTTTCGCGAACTGTACCAGGTGACAGCTCTCAGGCGGCAGGTGAGGCCTGTGTCCGGGAAGACGAGCCGGAAGGTGAGCTTACCTGAACCTCTCCATGAGCCGTCACATCGAGCCACACCAGGAAGGCTGCACACGTCTGGAGCATCCCAATCCAATGGAGCCAGGTGTGACACCTGAGTCTGTGTACGACATGTGTGAGGTGGTGTGTATTACATGCTTGTGTGTAAAAGAGTAATGTCTTCCTGCTTAGGAGGTCTCCAGTGCGGATGGGAAGCATCTACCTCAGCAGGACGGCCAGGGCCAAATGGCAGTCACTGGAGAGACGTGTCAGTGACATCATCATGCAGAGGATGACCATCTCTAACATGGAGACGGATATGAACCGACTGCTGAAGGTAACAACCTTAAAAAAAAATTTTTTCTTCTTTTCCTCTTTTCTTTTCTTCTGGAAAAGTAATGACTCCTTTTTGTTCCGGCCTCTTTAAACTCCTCCACCATCGCAGCAACGTGAGGAACTGACCAGGCGCAGGGAGCGAGTGTCCAGAAAGAGAGAGAAGATGGCGGTGGACGGTGCAGACGCTGACCGCTCCCTGGCTTCCCTGAATGAAGAGCTGGAGTCTCTGAGTGCCAACATCGACTACATCAATGACAGCATTGCAGACTGCCAGGCCAACATTATGCAGATGGAGGAAGCCAAGGTGAGAGAATATGAGGAATCTATTTAATTCTTCATTCCCATGATGCTTGTAGTTGTAATGCTTTATAACTAAAGGTAAAGTAGGGTAAAGGATTCTTGCCATGGCTAATATACCATAGGTTGAGATGTACTTTATGTCAGAATTGAGGCAGTGAATGAACATGTTAGTTTCCACAGTGACAGAAAGGATGTGAAATGGCAGAAACTTACCGTAGCTGCTTGGTTTTTATGTGTTTGGCCTCCAAGATTTTGTGGCTGCTGTTTTTGGTGCTAAACTGTGCAGCTATTTATCAGTTGTAAGCCTGCAGTCACTAATGATGTAGCATTGGGAGCGCTGTAGTGTGTTGGAAGTTGATATAATGTGGTAATTTTGTTGAATGCCTGTGTGAGTCCCTGATGTTCACAAAAACCTTTGAATCGAGGCAGGCTTGGGATTGGATTGCTGTCTGCTAGCTAGTTTCAAACTACCTGTTTACTAAATTGGATTTCACCAATAAACTTCAGTTCTAGTAAAAACTGTAGAAATATATAAATTGGTTGCTAGAAACATTAGTGCTCTCCAATCGAAATCATTCACCTATATAAAGAGGAAGTCACTCTTGCATCACATGCTGTGACGTAACTACCAAAAATTACCGTTTTAGGCCAAACAAAATATAAAAATTAACTGGCAAATCTTTATAAATAGGTATGACTCTGCATACATGGAAAAATGTTTAGTTAAGTAGAATTCATACAATTACCAGTCTCCAAGTGGGACATATGATTATGCTAACAGTTCTGGACAATTATAACAGTAATTGACATTATTTGTAAATTTAGGCTAATTTTATTGACATACCATTTTGTAATTTAAAGTGTTTTTTTTATTAAATAGCAGTTAAGTGTCAGGTCAGTAGTGTCAAGAATATCCCATGAGCTCTTTTCAGTTGAATATGTTAGCAAGCTAACGTTAGTTTGGTCAGTTAACTTAAATCAGCTGATGCAGTTACTGGCATTTACAGGGTGTAAGTATTTATTAACTAATCTCTAGTTTGTGTTAGAGGTCCTGGCAGGTGTATTCTGTTACCTTTAAGTCAGGCTAGCTGTTTCCCCCTGTTTCCAGTCTTTGTGCTAAGCTAAGCTAACCAGCTTCAGGTAGTAGCCTTATATTTAACACAGAGACAAAAGAGTAGTATCAGTCTATCTCCTGGCAAGAAAGTGAATCAGCATATTTTTCCAAAATGTCAAATCATTTTCTTTAAATAATGCACATGTTACACAAAAGCTAGTTTCTTACAGTGACACTTATGAATGTGTTGTTATTCTGGGCAACAGGAGGAAGGAGACACAGTGGATGTTACTGCAGTGGTCAGCTCCTGCAACCTATCAGAGGCCCGCTTCCTCTTGGATCATTTCATGACTATGGCCATCAATAAGGTACCTACCGCCCTCAGCAACTTAATGTTCTCTCTGTCTTAATTTTATTAGTGTGTTTGTTTGCATTCACGTACTGACAAGAGGTAAAGTCAGGTTTCTCTATGACTCTGGATGCAACTTATTTAACCTAATAAAACCTCACTTTCATCTTTACTAGTCATTGTGAGTCATGCAGCCCCACCCCCAACATTATAATCCAACATAGATCAATTACAAACTAACACGGCGCAATACTTATTTTTTATTATTTATGATGCCTATGTCTTTCAAAATAAATGTACCATGTGAATTTAATTGTATGTTGATAGTTGATGTTGCTGGTTGTTGGGGCAAGTATTTTACAATTTATCTGTTCATCTTGATCTTGCTGCCTTTATAGCCTTTATAAGATTGAATTCAATGAGACTTTAAATGGAACAACTTGATTGCATTAAGTTTCAATTAGATTAGATGAGATTAGATTTGATGAAACCTAATTGGTCCAGCGAGGAAATGTGATTCAACGAAGCAGCAAGAACCAGGACAGACCGAACAAATGAAGACGTGGAAGTAATTGAAACAACATGCTGAAGAAACACAGCCTTCATTATGTTTGACTGCTTCTAAGATATACACATAATTTATTACTGCGTCTCCAGTGATAACCTGTCTGCCGTGTGGTCACTGTCAGGGTCTGCAGGCCGCTCAGAAGGATTCCCAGCTGAAGGTCATGGAGGGCAGGTTGAAGCAGACGGAGATTAACAGCGCCACCCAGAACCAGCTGCTGTTCCACATGCTGAAGGAGAAAGCTGAAATCAACCCAGAGCTAGATGCCCTGCTGGGCAGCGCTCTGCAAGGTAGGAGACACCAGTAAAATAAGTATAATAACTGGTCTGAGCATGTCAGTCACACTCACCTTTTCAGTCATCTTCTCTTTCATCATATGGCTACAGTTTATTTTGCAGGCTTCAGTTTCCTCTCTATGTGTGCAAAGACAATTGATGCGATGTCACCGAAGTATTCCTCACTTGAAAGAACACGTCATTAATAGATCAAGCCTGTAAAATAAAGAAAAGCCCTTTTTCTCATCTTTGGGTTTGATTTTGATTTGATTTCTGTTTTGTTTTCTCTGTTGTGTTGGTGTGAACTCAGAGTTAGGTTACCTGTCACCAGGTGAGTATGAGATGCATAGAAATGTGACTGTGTTTGAGAGAGCGGTGGCACATGCACACCACAATATTTCCATTGGATTTCCTCCCAGTTTAAGACAATTATGGGAATAGACTTTAAAATCAGAAGAGAACATTTTGCCTTTTTGGTCGACGGTGCACCAAATAACATTTTGGAGTTTTTGCAGGCTTTTTAGATATGAGCTGCTTGTTATTCTTCAACAAACTCAAAGTATTTTACACATTATAATTACTGTCATCAACAATTAAGTTGCAATTTTCTTTTCTCTTGTGACTTGCTTCCAATTCCAGTTTCCAATATTAAAAAAGAGAGAGAGAAAGAAATAGAAAAAATGCCAAATGATTACAGAAAAATGTTGGAAAATGAGTCTCAACAAGATTAGTTATTGCCAAAGGAAAGAATTTGACTTCTAATTTTTCTCAAGTGTAAGCAATTTTGGATTAAAAGTGCTGATGATAACTATTGGTCTTCACTAGATTAAGAAATCTTGTAGTGTGCATCGACCCTCAGTCCTTTTTAAAAAACTAACCATGCTGAAGTAACTCTGCCACGACGTGCATGACGTGTTGTGCTAAGTCTCCCCTGTAAGCCCACCTGCTAGTCAGTCCCATTTAATCAGGTTGTTGTCACTAAAACTAAACAGCAGTAAAAACCCACGCTGCAGCAGGACTATAAACTGAAGTCTTGTGTTCACAGCGATTTGTGCGTCTACATTTTTGTGTTCGTAGCTTTCTGTCTCTTTCATGCTTTCTCCATTCTTCCTTTACACAGGACACACACTCCAACACTGTAGCCTCCAGTCGCATTACGCTAATGACCCCCGACCGTCCCCTTTTATTTATAACTAAACCCGGTGACCCCTGGTGACCTTGTTATAAACTGCTGAAGCTGTCACCATTGTTGTGCTGTAATATGTAGCTTTGTCTTTTGTGATTTTGTGAAAATACAGTTTGTTAGCAGATATACCATATGTACCATGTGCTTTGCAAATTCAACGAGGAGCCATATTTTTCCATGAAGTGTGCTAATGTGTACGTGTGTGTTTGTGTGTGTGTTTGTGTGTTTCCCCTGGTGCAGAAAATGGAGATGACAGCAGCAGTGACGAGTCCACCCCCAGCCCAGCCGCAGAGGGCAGGTAAACACAGACAATTCAGCAGCACTTTTCACATTCAAACTGTTCTTATATCTTTTGGAGAAAAATGGCAGCTCATGTTTTAGATGTACAGGGTTAAACTTTCAAGGGCCGTGCTATTACACATGCTGGCTCAATCACCTGGCTTAATGAGACACTTTGGAGGAAGCTAATGTCATTAGTGGCACCTGTGCTTTGGCGAGTCAGGATGTGTGCTGTGAAAAAAGGCAGATTCAGTTCAAGGAGTATCTTATCCGCTCATCTTTTAAGGATCTTTGTGGGTTAATACAGGAAAGGTTCAGCGTTTAGTTTCAGTTGATTCTTACACTTGTGGTAAAAGACGGTAATTTGACATATGTGCAGGAGAGACGGCCCAGTCAAGTACAGGATGTGCTAAATGTCATTCACAGTGGATCTAAATTACAGAACAGCGGCTAAAGACCTGCCATTATCAAAGCAGATTACTTCTTAAAATCTCTTTCCTCTTCTTAAGAGTAGTGTCATATAAATGTGAATAATAATAATTAATTCTGTTAATAACTGGTTGAAATTTCCTGACTATGTTTCAGCACACTTGCATCAGATCTGATGAAGTTATGTGGCGAATCCAGACCGAGGAGTAAGGTACTGACAATCTTTGTAGACCTGTGTTTGTCTAAGTTAGAGCAACAGGATATGTTAAAAATGAATGTCTGTTTCCATTCCACAGTAGGTATTTTTTAGGATTTGGAATAATTACTAACTAACCGGTGCATTGACTTGTGAGTCAGCTGATTATTGAGTCAAACGTTCCTGGTCCCTCAGGCTCGCAGGCGCACCACCACGCAGATGGAGCTGCTGTACGCCAGCAGTGGGGATCTATCCTGCGAATCCCCCACCGGAGACTTCTCGGCCCCTCTGCTGCCGCTGTCGGAGCGCCTGGAAGGGCCGGCGGACATGCTGGGTCACGCGGCTGGTCAAACCCCTGACCGCGAGCAAACCGTTTCCCCATCTGCCCTGTCTGCCAGGCCAGCTGGCATGTAAGTGTTAAAGGCAGCATTTCTCTGCCGCAGTAGACAGATCTCTCCAGAGCTCTGTGCCGAAATGTTGAATATTTATTGTGTTTGGGGGGATTTTTCCCGCAAGTTCATCAGTCAGCACTGTAGGTCTGTAAGAGCTTGTTTTTGTTGGTAGCGAGGCAGTGTGGTGATCAGGGAGATTCAGCCAGCACCCTTGAATAAATCCCCATATTTATCACAAAATGACTCCTGACAATTTGACTGTGTGTAGATCTGGAGCCAGGTCACCTACAGGGACCGAGAGGAGGCAACTGGAGCGTTCGCCCCTCAACCGAAGGAAGACGCAAGAGAAAGGACCCACAGTGACACACATCCCAACACCCACACACACAACCGTTAGCACAGCAGAAGCCAAAACGAAAAGCAGTGACTACAAAACACTGTAAGTTTAAAAAGTATCAGTAATTAACACATAAGCCTTTTTTTGTTTTTAGCCATGCTGTGGCTCTCAGTCTAGACTGAAATATCTCAACAAGTACTGGATTGGTTGGTATAATATCTGGTGCATGATTTGACTGAGGTAAATATCTTGACAACTTTTGAAATTTAGTTCATGCCCCTCTCTGGAAAACCTCTAACAACTTTGGGGATCCCCTGACTTTTCATCCCAATTCCGAATTATTGATTTAAAAGAAGAAAAAAAACAACTTTCAACTGATAATTTAAATACCTGCAAAACTAATGACATTCCCATCCCTGCTTAAAATCAGCATGTTAGCATTGTCATTGTTAGCATTATGTTAGCGTAGTGTCATTAGCATTCAACCTCACAGAGCCGCTAACATGGCTGTAGACTCTTTTTATCCTTTTGTTGGTGTTTCCTTAAATTGAAGTTTTCACCCCGTTTCAGCTGTTTGATGTCATTTTGTTTTATTTTGTCAGGCTGGAGGAGCCACCTGTATTTGAGAGCCATAGGTAATCCACCTCTGCTTATTCATTTTTCAGCTTTTTAAAAGGACTCTTCTGGGCTGCTTCTCTTTAAATGCAAACTGAAACGCACTCTTGTGTTTTATGTATCGTAGCGTAACTCTACAACGCTTCTCAGAGGCCGAGGACTGGTTAGTAAATGGAAGCTAAATTCACTAGGTACAGTTTATATTGTGTCTTGTGTTATTGTAGAGGCGTGATCAACCCTGTGACGGCCCCTAAGAACAGCCGGGGGGCCAAACTCCAGTGTGTCTACGTCGCTGAGGGCCACACCAAGCCTGTTCTGTGTGTCGATGCCACTGATGATCTGCTCTTCACAGGATCCAAAGGTTTAAAAAAAAAAAAAAAAAAAAAAAAAAGATTTCCAACTCAAGAAACATTATTGCTTTATTTTAACTTCCTCAAACTCAATCAGCCCTGATCATGATCATTAACAAACCTTTTCTGCCTATTGTCTAACATGTGATTTGTGTGTGTGTGTGTGTGTGTGTGTGTGTGTGTGTGTGTGTGTGTGTGTGTGTGTGTGTTTTCAGACCGTACATGTAAAGTCTGGAACTTGGTGACGGGTCAAGAGATAATGTCTTTAGCAGATCATCCCAGCAGTGTTGTCTCAGTCAGGTACTAATATGCAACGTACAAGTTCATTATGCATTATTCATTAAATATAACTGTATGTAGTCTAATGTACTTTTGATAAATGATTTTGTGTGTTCTCCTTGTTTTTGTTGCCATATTTCAGGTACACTTCTAGCCTCGTCTTCACTGTCTCCACTGCTTACATCAAAGTCTGGGACATACGAGATTCTGCCAAGTGTATACGGACGCTTACGTAAGGGCACCACCCATAACCTCCGACGTCTATTATAGCTTCACCTGAGTGCAGTACGTCTAATGGCGATGTGTTATACGTGTCTGTGCGTGTCAGGTCGTCAGGCCAGGTGGGCTCGGGAGACACGTGTTCCTCTGCGCGGAGTTTATCCATCCCACCAGGAGAGAGCCAGATCAACCAGATCGCTCTCAACCCCTCTGGCTCCTTCCTCTATGCTGCTGCTGGCAACGCTGTGCGCATGTGGGACCTCCGCAAGTGAGTTTAAACACAGATTAGAGGTTTAGCTGTACAAACCCGTTCCTGAGAGGCAGAGAGGAGAGAATTAATCTCTTTTTCCTTCCCTTTTTTTTTTTTTTTTTTTTCTTCAGGTTCGTGTCCACGGGGAAGCTGACTGGCCATTTGGGACCGGTCATGTGTCTGACTGTTGATAAGTTGGGTCATGGACAGGATGTTGTCCTCACCGGCTCCAAAGACCATCATGTTAAAGTAAGAGACAAAACACGCACACAACTGTAATTACATTCCCATTCCTTTGCATGCAGTAAACGACACCATGTTTTTTTTTGTTTTTTTTTTCCCCAGATGTTCGAAGTAGCAGAGGGCGCTCAGGGTAGCATCACCTCCAGCCATACGTTTGAGCCCGCTCATCTGGAAGGCGTGGAGTCCCTCGCCGTGTACGGAGACGTTTTCTACAGCGGCTCCAGAGACTATTACATCAAAAAGTGGGACTTGGCCGGTAAACAGCTGCTACAGGTAGCCTCCACATTCAAGCTTGGCTCCCCAGATTTCTAAATATCATATAAGCTGACAAAGAAACGACTGAAATCTATGACCTGAGATACAAAATAGGGTCTGCTCTAACTAACCCGTCAGCTGTTTTTTTTTTTTTTTTTTTTCCCTCCAGCAGTCGGCCAGTGCCCAGGCAGACTGGGTGAGCGCTCTGGGCGTGGTGCCAGGCTCCCCGGTGCTGCTCAGCGGATGCAGAGGAGGGCTGCTGCGTCTTTGGCACGCCGACTCGCTAGCACCCCTCGGCGAGGTCCGCGGACACGACAGCCCCATTAATGGCCTGGCCACCAACAGCTGCCAACTGTTCACCGCCTCGGAGTGAGTCACAAAACATTTTTCATTACTGTCAAGTCTGTAATGACGCTGTTGTGTGTTTTATCGCAAACATATTAAATCTCATTTTCTTCCTGTGTGTGTTTTGTTTTGTTTTATTTTCTTTTGATAGTGACCGCACAGTGAAAATTTGGGAAACTAAAGGATCTCTGGAGGAAGGAGTCCACTGACATCTGATTCCTTCTCTTCAACCAATCACAATGAATCTGTCAAACGGTGGATGGGTAGCCCAGAGTGGAGTGTGCCCCCCCCCCCCCCCAGACTGAAAAGTCATCATCTTTAAACAACACCGATCTCTATTACTGATTTACTGATACTTTCGGTCAAACTGGATCACCACAAACTCAGTGGAGTCAGAGTCAGTGGACCAGAACAGCTGGAGTGAACAGCACCTCTCATAACTGTAAAATGAAAGGAAAACTACGGATTTAAGGATCCGCGTTAATTGATCCAGGAGTCTCTCCTGTGCTTTCAACATTCCTCTCCTCAGTTCAGCGCAAGACAACATGGATACCTTCTTTGCATACAGTGAAATTTGCTGAGAAAAAAAAAAAAAAAGGGTGCAGCGCTTTGCTTCCTCGCACCAAATGAAAAAGACAAGCATTCCCCTTTGAATCTCCTGCTCACCAGCAATGTGAGTCTCTCCTGTGTGTTCACATGATGTGTTGTGTCTTCCTGTCATTGCTCTACAGGCTGATTCAGGTTGTGTGTGTGTGTGTGTGTGTGTGTGTGTGTGTGTGTGTGTGTGTGTGTGTGTGTGTGTGTGTGTGTGTGTGTGTGTGTGTGTGTGCGCGCGCGTGTGTGTTTGTGTGCGTGTGTGTTCTCTGTAAGCAAGGACCAAATAACTACTGAAACTTGCATGTTCTTCAGCTGTTACTGCCGGACCCTCCAGTGGAAAGATAGAGGCCTCTAAATAAAATAAAACATCATGTCATCCTGTGACGATTTACAAATTTTCCACTTTTCTCTCAGCGCTTTCATCAGTGTTAGGTCAGTGTTCATTAAATCACCTGCTCAGCGATATTATATCTCTACAATAACATGTATCACAGCTGAACTATATCCTTACACACTGCCGTACAGAAGCAGAGAGCAGGAACTACAGAAACCTATACATACAGGCTTATAGAAACAGCATAGTGATAAAAATGTTTACACACTCTACAGTTAAACCCCTGCTTTTATCTGTTAGCAAACTTGTTAAACCCCGGTCAGACCAGCTGTTACATCCAGATTAAAATGTGTTTAAAAGTGTTTCCCCGGCTCGGATATTTCAGACTGAGGTAAACACTGTTTTCCTCTCTCGTCGGTGATGTGTTGTCGGCGGTCAGCTGGGTTTCTGGTTTCAAGTATTCTCTGGTTGATACACAAACAGTTTTGTAGCCTTAAGTGGTGTTTTAGTTTTCCCCCGTGCTCTCCTGTAAGCATGCTCCCCTCTGGCTTCTCCGACCCGCGTCTCTCAGGGCACATTTTTTCTCACTTCCAGGATTTCGATTCTTTTAGCTGAAGAAGGTTGCCCGCTGAGTATTTACGTTCTCTAAACTTTAGTGTCTGCGCAGCCGTTTCAAAAAACTGAAGTACAGCCTAGGCAGCAGAAGTGCTTTTAGGACATTTATAACAAGTAGTGTAACGGTTAAATGAGACTTTGAAGAGACGCTGTTTCTAATCAGAATAATGGAAATGGAAATCATTCATGTTGATGCAATCAAGCACCTTGTAATCCCCTAAATCATGGAGTATTTTGTGAAAGCATCTATTCCTGAAAGATGTGTGTGTGTGTGTGCGTGCGTGCGTGCGTGTGTGTGTGTGTTGTTCAATCCAAACGATGTGATAAGTTCTCAGTGAGTTCTCCATCCACAGTGCTGTTCACCTCTGTTAACTGCACACACGCGACAGCAGAGCGTTTCAGAACATCAGTCTTTCAAATTGAGTGTAAAAAAAAAAAAAAAATTACTATTTATTTATACTTTCTTTGATTTTTTTTTTTTTTGTTTTGGATTTTGCTGTTGTGTGTTCCTTATCAGTCTGAGAGTTTGAACTCATTCCCATCTGATGCCTCTGAGACGATGGACTGCACAGAATTTAGGGGATGGATTTCTCCATAATCAGAGGTGTATTATCAGTGCCTGTTATAAATCCTAAACTGTGGGTATTGAGTTGTCCTATTGCAACCTGATAAATGTGGACTGTTCCTCATTAAAATGTTCAGGTAAGCAATTTATCATGAACTATCCGTGCATTTCTTTGAGATTTATTGGAAATACACTTGCTGCTGTGGTTTAGACATTGGAGGTAGACACTGTTTAAATCAATAGGACTAAAATAATTGCACTGAAAAATCATATTTTTTAGATAAGTTTCCCATCTGACTCACAGCACAGTTTACAGTAGAGTGGTTTTCAGTCCCGTTGGTTTGCACTTGAATTGCTAAAGAAATGATCCCAAAAAGAAACAATAGGCTGTAAGTGTTCAGTCAAATTCAAGATGAACCTTAATAATCCTTCTAATTGTAGTTGTATCTTATTTTGGAAATTTTCTGTAAATCTCTCTTATGTAAATACAACTGTTGTTGTTGTTTTTTTCCTGCTGATTCTGTTGTGCATAAATTCAAGCCGCAGTGTGAAAATAGATTGTAAAATAAACCGGTTTTACAAGTGTTAAGTTTTTTTTTTTTTGTTTTTTTTTTAACGCATGCATTAATGGTTTATGACCACATGGTGGTAGTACTGTATAATGACATGTGATGTACGGGATCTGAGATTTTGGCAACTTGCTGTCATCTGCATTGTGTTTCTCCTGGCATGTTTTTGGTGGACACAACTGCTCTCTGGGTGAGGAAGACAAAATTCAAATTCTGAGTGATCCCCTTCAGTTAAGTGAATCATTTCCAATTAAATCCCAGGCAATACCCACATCCACAGGCCATGAATAAAAATGACAACAATTGAAAGAAGCAGCTTGATCATACGAGATGGTTAATGACAAACAGCTCTTGGCGGCCTGTTTTACTTCCTCTAATGGATATCAGTAATTATGACTATAATTCTAATCTGTGGAGTTTTTTTCTTTGGTGCTCATACCCCCACCCCACCCACCCATGATACCTGTCTCATAAAGAGGGGATTAGGGGAGTAACCTCACTCAAGACAAATAACAGCACAGCCTCACATACATTATATATACAGTACATACATTACACAGTATCTTTACCTCACAAGAATTCACATAACCTCTGGATCCTATGTGCTCTCACTAAATCATCATTTATCCGCGGCGTGCTCCACTCCTCCTTTAATTATCACTGCAGGCAGTAATATTGTGCCCTGTGATTTACTCCAGAGCAGCAGACACAGACAAAGATGGAGGGAGGTGGGAAAAAAAAGAGTTAGAAACTCCCCCTGAAGATGCAAATTAATGTGAACAGTGATGGAAGGATCAATATTTAATGTGTATCCGCACTGAGAGCAGCAGAGTGTTAATTGCCCTCGCAGGAGTAGAGCACTGACTCGCACTGCCCCGTGTGTTCTGCATTAAACCTCTGTTGAATTGTACTTTATTCTGTTCTAATAGGTTCTTTCTGATGACATCCCCCACAATGCATCTTTCAAACTAATTCACTCAACGTAACTTATTTCTTTCCTCTCCTGGTTTTGACAGGGAAATGGTTGCTCATATTGAGAGGTGTGACCAATTTGCATTAATGTCATTTCATTGTCAGCTTGGAAATGAGCCAGCCACCATGTCCTCACTGTATATATACATATGATTTGCACATGGATATAATAGAGGTTCAAATTAGGTAGATACTATAGCTAACTACTTTATTGCAGTGGGTCCCAACCTGGGGGGGGTCAGGATGCCCATAGGTGGCCGTGAGATCAAGGTAGAAAATAAAAACCAAACACTGCTACACAGAGCCATCTTTATTTTTTTAGAATTTTCTCAAATTTTCCTCTTCTTCGCCTTGTCAAGTAAAAAGTATGTAAATGGAAAAAGAGAAAATTATTCTTTAATTGAGCATCTCACATCTTATGTACATGCATTTTGCCATGAGGTATTGGAAGCACAAACAAGGTAACTGTGGTAACCATGACCTTAGAGGGATTTTTTTTAAACATTTTGGGAAATGTGCGTATTTGCTTTCTTGCCCAGAGTTAAATTAGAAGATTGATATCATTGTTTATACTCTAAATATAAAGCTCAAGCCAGAAGGCGATTTGCCTAGCTTTGCATAAAGACTGGAAGCAACGGGGAGCAGCTAACCTGGCTCCGTCCAAAGGTAAGAAATCCACCTACCACACCACTGTATCTCTACGTAACCTGTACAAAATGGTATAATGGGACATAACATGCTGGAACTTAAATAATTCCAGCATTGTCTTTTTTATATTTAGCTTTTATTACATTAAAATGATGGTTAGCTTAGTTTAGCTCATATATACTAACATTAATGGCTGTCGCATGACTATTTCAAACATCCATCTAGATTTGACATGATTATGAACATGAACCAGAAACTCTATTACCTTTTTTGTGACAGAGGGTCACTTGAAAGGACATACAGACAACATTGGACAACAGTGTGACCTTGTATGGCCCTATGAATCTGCTTTCTATCAAACTGTCAACGCCCACAGTCACCTATTTGCTCCCTTTTATTATGCAGGCTAATAACAAGGCAGGTAACTGGGCACACAGTGATCTTTAAATAAAAATAAATTCTTGGAAAAACACAAGCATGTTGACCTAAAAAATGCCAAGTCACTGTCCGACCGGCTCCTCAGGATATTTACTGTTTACAATAATTATATAACACCCATATTACTGGCACATACAGTGCACCACCCATGATGATCAAGTTTCACCAGGAATCAATAATGACTTCCCAGACGTAGGGCGAGGCCTGAGAGTTCCACTTTAAGTTTAATTGTTGCGCGATCTATAATGAGTTTGGATGACATATCCTCCTCTAATCTGCTCAATGAACACACTGATTGGTGATGAGTAGGTGCCCTGTCGGATCCTCTTGTTTCACAGCTAAATCTGTCTGAATAATGTGATTTGTACAGCTGCGGGTGCTTTGTATTTACTGAAAGATTAAAATCAATACAGGTTAATTTCTATCTGATATGGCCTGGGATGAGATTTAATGTCTATGTGTGTGTGTGTGTGTGTGTGTGTGTGTGTGTGTGTGTGTGTGTGTGTGTGTGTGTGTGTGTGTGCGTATGTGTGTCTTGCTCTCCTCAATATTTGTGCTGAGGAGAGATTCCATGAAAATAAGGAGGGAAATGCATTTGTTGTACATAATAATGATGCACTGTATGTTTCATAACATCTTCTCAGTATTACTTTCCCATTGTTATTTGGGCCATTAGTTGGTGCATTAGAGACTTCTACTACGTATTCCACTGTTTTTACCTTTCGGATTGAATCATGAAATATATATGAGCATCATTAGCGGCAGGAAGGTTTTGTTTTCTGACATTTCAGCGAGCTATTCGCTTCAACCTGCCATATGAAAAAGCACATCTTCTTTGCATTTCGCTGCATTGACAACCACGCGCAAACAAACCCAAAGAGGGAATAGGTGGGAGAAGACGTGTCTGAGATTGAAACAGAAGAGGAAAGAGATAAGGTGTGGGGGATGGAAACAGGCAGAGACAGCCAAATGGTAGTTAAAGACTTTTTTTTTTTTTTTTTTTTTTTTCCTGAGCGGGAATGAAGCTCAGGAGGACAGGGTCAATATTCACCACCCCAGCATCTGCAGAGTGAATCCTCCAGCTAAAAATACCAGCGCTGCAGCTTTATGACCAGAAGTGATGATCTGTGATACTGCTGCTTGCTCTTTTAATGTGGCTACAAAGACCCACCTTGATCTGAGTTGTTAGGAAAGTCAGTCTGGGAAGAACAACATTTGCAATATGCTGGTGAAAGCATTTTAGCATGAAATTAGAGGGCAGTGCCTTTGGAGAAATAGCATATGTGTTTCAATTACTGAATCAGTTTGAGTTTTATGTCTTAATAAAGAGAGCAGCGTGAAGATGATGATGGATATTAACATAGACTATAGATGACCAAAGACCAAGCAGGAGATCTTCAGTGTGTGTGTGTGTGTGTGTGTGTGTGTGTGTGTGTGTGTGTGTGTGTGTGTGTGTGTGTGTGAAGGGAGGGGGCTGACAGAGGGAGATAAACCTGATAGTAGCAGCCACAGTGAGCAGGTCAAGTGTGTGCCCTTGTATTCACATTTACATTCGACAGAGGAAAGCTCTTTACATTCAGTCATCTGCTGTAGATCTCTTCATGTAAGTGCAGGTGGGTATCAGTTGTGTGTCTAGTGGCTGAGTGTCAGTGACTATTAAACCCAGAGAGCTCTCCAGTTGAACCCCGTGTAGTGGAGAGTAAATGAGCACATTAGAGAGCGTAACTACCTGGGACTTTAACACCAGGGCAACAGGACATTAAGGATGCGGCTGAGCTGAAAGAGAAAGATAGAAGGACATTTTACACAGTTTACGCATATTAATGTAATAATATTTACTGTACCAATTCAGACCTGGCTTTATATTTTATACTCACTGATGTATCAGGAAGGTAGCTCCAGCAAACATCTGTAACTTGTGCATTTAGAGATATTTAGTCAAGCTAGCGATGTTTCTCTAGGGATTGCAATGCCAGACTTTTGAACAGTAGGTTTGGTCCGTCACTGGTCAATTACTGAATGGATTGCCATCAAATTTGGTGCAGTCATTCATGGTCCCCAGAGGATGAATCCTACTGGTTTTAGTGACCTGCTAACTATTCCCCGAGTGCCAATATCAAATCAGAGTTTTCATATATACGCAGTGAAATATCCCAACATCTATGCTACGGATTGGAGCAACATTTTAGCTGTTCATGGTTTCCTGATGATGAATCCTGTTGACTTTGGTGACCCCCTCTTCCTCTAGCACCACCACGAGGTTGACATTTGAGGTTTTAAGTGAAATGTGTCAACAGCTATTTTGATGGATTGCTGTGACGTTTGCTAGAGAAATTTTTGCCACATTTTAATGACTTTGGTGATCCATTTAATTTTCATATAGCACCAACATCTGGTCAAAATTTTGATTGTCCAATACTTTGCTGTATGACAAAAACTAATGACATTCCCATCAACCTCATCTGTATTTTGTGTTTAGTGCTAATTATCTGATGTTAGCATCACAATATGCTAAACTGAGCATATAGCTCAAAGCACCACTGTGCCACAGTGCAGCTTCACAGAGCTGCTAGCATGGCTCTAAACTCTGTAGACTCTGTTCTCTAGTACACATAAGTGACATATTTCACACCATGTTTGTCATACCATTTGCCCCAATCAAGCACACGCCCATTACACAACACTTAGTTGGTGCATTTTTCAAATCTGCAATGGCTGATTCAAATAAACACTAACACAACTATTTAGGTGAGTCAGAACTGGATTTCAATCCTGACAGTTAACTGCAAAAAAGAAAGCTTAATTTAGTTTTTTTTTTTTTAATTCCCCTGCACACTATATCATTCATTGCAAAAAGTCCAAATTAAAACATATTAATCACCAAAAGCTTCAGAACAGGTACTAAATGGACATTGTTCTTAAGATATCCAACATGAGAAATAACTAATTGCACCTTATACTGAGATAGTTTTTTTAATTAAAACATATGTCTTGACGCACTGGATGTGACTGTTGTGCTTTGATCTAATTGCCTGAATCCTGAATCTAGTCTTTTGTTTGTGGAAATGTTAGAAGTTGTCAAGTAAATGCAATGCCCCACTATTTGTCAACTGATCTGAATTACAGTCATAAATATTTATCATAAAATGCACCAGAGATACAATTTATGCAGAAAGGAGAGATATAGTATTTTACTTCTGTTAAATGACTGTGTGATACATAAGAAGTAAAAGAGGAAAAATACATTGTTCTTAAAATGTTGATCCATAATGAACATACAAACACATTATGATGAATGCTATGTAGGTGGGGCTTTAATATAGATGCATGAGACTGCTATCATGATTGTGTGTCATAATTATACAGCAGTTTATTTGTAACAAATGGCCCTTCTTAAAGCATGGACTGCAAAGTTTTGTGTGTTTGTGTGTGTGTGTGTGTGTGTGTGTGTGTGTTGCTCTGTGTGGTGCTACAGTCAGATGGAAGTGATGTGATGTTTACTCACACAAATGGCTTGTCTTTCTGTCTGTACCTGCTGTATGTGTGTGTGTGTGTGTTTGTGTGTGCGTGTGTGCATGTGTGTGTTTCTCTCAGTGTGTGTCCATTATATTTGCCCCTGTGTGTGTTTGAACCCATCCACCCCAGCCACCCGTGTGGACATGGGGCTGGTGGTATGATGTTTGCCCAAAGGTGCCGTAATGGTTTTTGCCACCATGCCACACATCCTGCCCAGGGTATGTTGATGCATGTGTGTGTCTGTGTGTGTGTGTGTCTGTGTCTGTGTGTGTGTGTGTGTGTGTGTGTGTGTGTGTGTGTGTGTGTGTGTGTGTGTGTGCATGTGTGTGTAATACTGCTATATTTAGAGACGTGGTTGGCTGGTAAACACACTGAGTAATACGGAGATGCGTCATTTTAAGATCCTATGACTCTATTATCTAAACATAATGCTCTCACACACACAAAAACACACACATTTATGCAGCATACAGCAAAAGTGAGTAGGTGAGTAGGGCAGTTTGTAATACTTGAGATATGGGGATGTGACATGTATTCATTAGCCAGGGAGTTACACAAGGAGGAATGCGCTCTTTTGAACCCCTTTATACTTGAGTGCAAAAAACACATGAAGTAATATGTCATCAACTTTCAGATTTTGCTTAATAGCACACAAACACACACACTTCTAGGGCAAAGCAGTTTGATATGCTGAAGGTCTCTTTTGGACACACACACACACACACACACACACACACACACACACACACACACACAATGTCCTCATAATATGACTCTCCTCCTTATCCCTTTACATTCATCATGCTGTCATTCTGTTCTGTGCCGGCGGAGGGTCTCCCTTTCAGTTAATTAAATCAGATGCTTATCCTCATAGCTTAGAGAGAGAGAGAAGAGAGAGGGTTAGATTATTAGTGTTAAAGTTATTAGTGTTTCTACACAAACACTAATAACAACAATACTAATAATATCCTCACAGACTGCTGAGACTAGAAAAAGCGTGTGGCAAAGGAACATACAGTATACTCTACTGCCCTGACACACAAATGGGTTACTACTCTACAGGGGCCTAGACACCCAGAGATCAAAAAAAGCTCTTCATGAAGTAGAAGGACTTATAAGAGACGCATCAGTAAATAAAAAGGTCAATATCGAAGCAGCTGAATCTGACTTTAGGCTACGTCCACACTAATACATTTTCATTTCAAAATGAAATCGATCTCCACCCAGACGACCGTTTTAGCCCCATATCAGAAACGTTCTCCGTCCATACAATCATACCTGATTATCTACTATGCAGTTGAGTAGTTGAACAAAATACTACAAACAAGGAACAGCAAAGGCAGTTGTAGCGTTAAAATGCAGAATTTTACTGTGCAAAAGCCGCAAGCAAACACAACAAGGTCAGTAATACTTGTAACTGATTACCCATGTTAGTAGTCCACCGGTACACCACTGGTAGTTGTGACTGATAAGACCAGGAGGCAAGCGTGGGTGTCTGCTTCATCGTTTCCAAAGGCCCGTCCAGACTACAACGCTACCCTGAAGTTTTCAAACTAAAACGGGTCCAGCAGTCTTTCCAAAAGTCTCAGTTTCAGGTGCTCGAAAACTCTAGAGTAGTGTGGACGTCAGATGTAAATGTTGCAAAAGAGATGCGTTTTAAAACTAAAACGAGTAAGTCAAGTACATAAAACACTACAGCCTACAGTGTCTGTAACACACACCTCATGACATCATCAGGGGCCCACAGTTCCTTTTTACCCTGGGCCCCGTAACGGGTTTACCCGGCCATGCAAGGAGTGAGGGGTGTTTCATGCCAATAACTCACATTGAATTGAACTGAATTGAACTGATGTGAATGGAAGTATGAAATGTGTGCATGCCTGCGTACACACACACGCACGCACGCACACACGCGCGCCCGCACACACACACACACACACACACACACACACACACACACACACACACACACAGGAAAGACTTTTCATGGTAAATTTATTCAATTTTCGTGATGATTGTATCATTGTCATTACTTCCATGCCAGTAAATCTGAAGCGTTGAATTTACATGCAGAGAACAGAAGTGAACTGAACTGAATTTAAAGACTGGGAGACAGACAGAAAGAGAGGGGAAGGAGATGGCAGGGTGGCATAAAGAAAGAGGGAAGGGAGAAGGAAAAGAGAGAAACACACACAGAGGAGGAGAAAGAGAGAAAGGGAGAAGTGACATCACTTCTCCCAGCCTCTCTCTCCCTCTCTCTGGCACCTTTGCTCCACTTCTCGCCGAGGAGGCGCACACTCACACACACACTCACACACACTCACATACACACACACACACATACACACACACACAGCTCCTCGCTCTCCTTCGTCGCTCATAAAAAGGGGATTGGACTGCACGGAAAAGGGGAAAAGGAAAAGGAAAACATTTGACAGGATGAACAACGGTTTCTTAAACATGGCGTCGATAGGCGACTTCGACCCGCTCAACGCGTCTATTCCAGCCACCAAAGTTGAAATCACAGTGTCCTGCAGGTAGGGGAATGTGTCTGTTTAACCTGGTTTTACTCTGACAGGGTTACGGGAGGAAAAAAAACACCGAGCTGTGAACGCAGGTACAAGTGAACTGTACTTCAACTCCGTCCAAGTTTCTGTTTACTTTCATTTTACACCGACTTCAGCTCCGACAATAGCGTGAAAATGTCACATTTTCGCTTTTTATGGCGAGTAACGTAAGACTGACAGTGTTACTGTACGTTACTATGAGTAGCGTTAGCTGTATTAGCGAGATGTGGTACCAGTTTGTCACTTTTACTCCACTGAAACACTGTTAATACGGGCCATGATAACTATTTCCGAAGGACAACATGTACACAAGTCTATTACAGCAAAACTGTACACACTGTGTGAACACTGTGTTTATACTGTAACGTTAAAAATCCTGGAAGGTCAATACAAACTCGTTTCGAGACGCACTAGCTTACTTTTTATATTAGCTAACACGTTTAAACAAGTTCAAAGTGATGCCAATAGGGAATATATGTATAAGTGTGATAAGGCTATTACAACGGGATATATAGTTACACTTAAAAAACATACACAAGCATAATATGGCGATCCCATATGAAATAGGCAAATAATACAATAGAATAAGGTATCCTTTATTGATATGATATCAAATACAGTGTGTAGGTGGATTCCTACCAATGTGGCCACTAATGAGTTATTCCTTATTATTTAGAAATTTCTCAGCTGCGTTGCCCCTCCAAACACTTGTTTTAGTGTTGTCTTTGCAGTATTTGACAGATGACAGTGTTCTTGTTGGTCAGCTGTCTAAACAGCCCATCATTTTGCTGTATCAAATGCATGCAAAACGTGTTCAAATCGTTACAAGGAGTTGTGGTGTGTTAGCATGCCAGTGTGTGTATTGTCTGATGTGATGGAAACAGACAGGGAAAGCAGGGGACAAGGCTGTGGTGTATTTAACCCCCTTTGAAGGTGGTCTTTGTCTCTCATTCAGGGAGGATTTTCTTTTCTGTATATGAAAATGCAGAGCATGTGGTTTATTTCTGCCAGACTGGTGACCCACAGTGAGCTACAGCCTCTATATGCCTCACAGGTCAGCCACATGTTTTCAGGAGCCCCCCTGCAAGGGAATCCAATTTAATGTGTGGCCTCTTTTGAATCAAATAAGTGACATTATACATGTGCTGCTAGTGATGTATTTTACCATCACAAGGCACCATAATACACCTTTTTAGAATAGAGAGATAAAACACATTCAGAGAAAAGCCTTTTGAAATTGATGTTTTCTTATAAACACTTGTTACAGTAAAGTGTCACACCCCTTGCAGCTGCTCTGTCATTGTGAAATAGGTAACAGTGTTTCTGTTTAACAGTGATATCATCTGCTGTGTTACAGGCTATAAAAAAATTAATTGTTAATAAGATAAGAATTGGTGGAATTCAGTAGGCTGAAACTTGTGGGTGTTCCTCCATGTTGATAAATGATCTTCTTTTGGAGACTGGGCGGTGTGTGTGTGTGTATGTGTGTGTGTGTATGTATCTGATGATATACTGTAAATCTATTCAAATGTTGGCAGAAACAGAAATCTTCCAGTAATAAGTGAACTTTGTCTGAATCCAGAAAAACAGGTTCCTTCTCAGGGCTTTGACAGATACTCAAATGATGCCTGTTTACATTGCTGCTGTTCCTCTTGGTTGTGTCCCCATGCTGTCAGCACATTGTTGTGGTTGGGTTTTCTTGATGCAAGCGTGATATCTCAAACTCTGCCTGTCAGATTAACACAGTCCTTACTTAAATCTTGTCCCTTACACCTTATGTGGAGTTGACTTTAAACATGCAACATAAATCTATCTATCCTTTCAATTTCAATGAATGTGTATCTGCTATGAAACTAGGCGTGGAATCAAATGTCAGTCATGTGATTTACACATTTGATAACTCATGTAACAGCACATGATGGGACAGTTTTTTGCCCTGATTCTGGCACGATTCAAAGATAAACTTTCCAACTTAATGTGATTTTACTGCCACACTACCCGCCTTAGAGGAGTGGACAGAAACAGTATGCTGCCTTCCCTGAGTCCCTCAGATACTGTGGTTACAGTTTCAGTACCATCTCCTTAGTAACAGAGAGATCATGTCATCTTCCAGTAGAATATATAGTTTGGTAGAGTTTGCTAATGTCTGAGTCACCCAGCTTCTCAGCCCCCCTGGGGGGGGACTGTGTTTTGGTGGCTGCCCTCCCACCTCCAACCTGAGGGGGAGCGGGAATGCCATGGTTACGGCCAGGTGTGTATGTGTGTGCGTGTGCACTTACTGTACATGTTTGTGGGAGCTTAAAGCATATACCTTGTATGTTTGTGTATGTGACATTGTTTTGTAAGCGGACATAATGGGCAATGTACAGTATCACCATGGTTACAACTTTTTTTTTTTTTTTTTTTTTAAGTTACCCCCGTGTGTGTGTGTAGGGGGGTGTTAGAGTGAGAAAATGAACTGAGAAGACAATGGCTGAAGAGTGAGCAATATGACTGCAATGATTGTAACTGTCATTCAAAAGTGATCTAAGATGAAAGAGAGAGGGAGCTTGGAAACTTAATAGGTTATGTAGTTGAGTCCAAAATGTTATGTTTGAGTGGATCTAATGAAAAAGAGAGCAAAAATCTGCAGTGACAAGTTAATTAGTTATTTCCAATGCAAATCAGCATTCTTGAAACACTTTGAGTGTGCATTCGGGTTTTAAAGATGTTGTCACCTGTTTCAGGAAAAACTCTTTACAGGCAATTTTCCATCAAGTGACATGTAATCATCTCTCGTTTTCACTTTTTGATTTGATATTCATACTTATTAAGCCTTTTTAAGACGCTGAATGACTTGTCACGATGGAGACTTGTGGGAAAGAGAGTGAGGAAGTTGAGAAAAGAGAGTTCGAGAGCCTTTGAGATGATGCTCTCATTCCAAAAAGCTCTCCTTATGTAATTGTTATATAGTCAGTGGTGACATAATCGTTGGAGATATATTGACCTCTTAGCCTGCATCTCCGGCTGATTCTGATAATGCTCTGATGCTGTGGGAATATGAAGTAAGAGCCTCGCTCAGGCTCTGCAGTTAGCAGGAGACATTTTGCTGATTGATGGGTGAGCCTGAGGTATCAGCTTGGATCAATACACTACCAGCTCTGCCTACTGTGTTGCACAAAAGCACACATGCATAAAAGTATGTTCACACATACTGTATACTGTGGGGCTACATATATGAATGACTGTACACACAAACCATCCCTCACCCACACTCCCAACAGTCACAGAAGAATAAATTACTCCCTGATGCACTTTAGTGTTACCACCTACATGTTTGAGCCGGGGGACTCTTTGGTGAATGGCCTCAAGTCCAAATATTCCATTATGGTCATCGATTGGCCCAGCACACAGGCTGTTACCTGTTATTTCACACTCACACACAAAACCAGTGTATCTAATATATCAAATAGGTGACATGTTTGCAAGGTTCCTCAGTGTTTTGAGAAAGTTTGTCTTTGTAGCTCAGGGCTCAAGTTAATGTTGCAAAGAAATACACAGTATACGGATGCCTGCCGGTTTCTTTGGTTACTGTGTGTATAGTTACTGACATTTGATCTGTGTGTGTACCAATCAAAATGTCTGTAGCACTGAGTATTGATCAAGACATCAATCTAATCGGACATTTACTGATTGAAACTGTGTTTTTCTATTGTCAACTGTATTTTATTCAAGTTGAAAAACATGAAAATGTAAGGAATCAACAAAAATATTGTTTTGATATTTGTACCAGAGCTTAGATATTTAATTGGCATTAGTATCTCAAGCCTTCTGTGTTTTCTTTAATGAATCAGTCAATTAATCCATCAGTCCATCGACAGTGAAGTGATCGTATGCTCTTCAGTTTTCAAGCAAAGATGGCAAACAGGGTTCCAGCTTCTTAAAGGTCACTCTTTTGCTTTTTGTTGTCTTACATTACTATTATATAATTGCTGGTCAGTGGACTGTTGATCAGACAACAAAAAGCAGCTGAAATATCTGATGAGCATTTTTCATTATTTTCTGATGGTTTATAGACTCAATTATTAATTGTCTTATTGGGAAAATAATGCGCAGATTCATCACTAATGAAAGTAATCATTATTTGCAGCTGTTTTAGTTTCTGTTTAACTTGTTGCTGTTACACGGATACCAAATCTTTTTGTTGCTAACACCTCTCCATGCTCTCTGCTGCATTTTTACAATTTTTGTATTCAAAGGAGGAAAGTGCTCCACAGTGGACAATCTGCCTCTGTTGAATAATGGGTTGCTGTTAGCACTCTCAGACACACAAAACCAAGCATGGAAATGTGTCACCCCAGAGGTGTTTGTGTGTTATGTTAGTATTTATTTAGTGGATTGCCTCATTTCTTTTTCTTCGTCTTTTTCATACCGGCATGGCAGAAAAAGCTCACAGTAGGATGTAGACTGTTTTTTTACAGTGTCTTTCAGACTGGTTGGCACCTTTTTTTTTTTTTTTTTTTTTTTTTCCCCGTCTCTTCCTCCTCACTCTGTTTCTTGTTATGCATCCCAGCACTGTCAGTAAACACTGTAACTGTTGACAGTAATAACTCTCAGGCTGTCTCCTCTGTCCACCTTCTCTCTGCTGTCGAGCAATGAGATGCATTGGAAAAAAAGGCATCTCTTTCCAGTACTCACGGTTGCCACAACATATTGGTTGTGGTGTAAATGACAAATTGGAAGACAGTTTATTTATTTATTTATTTATTTTTACTGTTAGGGTTGGGTAGCTAACCATAACGCGCACATGCAGGCTTTGTCATGCATGTGTGAGGTCTTGATTTGATCATCATACTGTATATCCAGCATAATGTACATCAGTACGTCCATGTCCATACAAATTGTTCCGGACTGATTTCAGTAAAGGCTGGTTTGGAAATATAAAAGGAGGCCAAATTTGAAAACGAGGTCATATTTGTTCAGGCCTGAAG